TTAAGGTAGCTCTGAAGCCCATGTACAGAATTAAAAAAAAGTGGCCAAAAGTTGCATCTTATCCTCTTTATGAAAATTCGATAATAAAAAAATGGATTTCACCGTGCCGTTTTTGAAATATAAGTACTTAAAGCTAAAATTAAGGGTGTGTTTTAGCGGGAAATACTGTTCATATGGTAACCTACTGTGTGGTGAAAATGTTAACACCGTGTTCACCAGGCATGAACCCCAGGCTCACTGGTGAAATGTGCCTAAATAAAGTGCTTACTTACTACAGTGATTGGGCAATTTTTTGTTTCCATAATTGTAGCATCAACTGGTAAAGATTGGTTACTGAATGACCTCTCAAAATCTAAGTCTTGAAAAGTGCTGGAAACTGTTTTGAGCCACTTTAAACCATGGGTTTCAATGGGGTTAACCGTCAACTGTCAAATGGCCAAAAGATTAACAGTCAACCGTCAAAAAGGCTTATTTTTAACCGTCAAAGGGATCCACCCCATACAGACCCTCTTAAGCAAACCCGTCATATTTTCAACACCGCGGACATCTTTTCTGTGACGTCATGATCGCTCCAGGTCTTCCTGCTGGTGGTCGCTGGTGTCGTACGTCAAAGTTATTTCCGGCTTGAGAAGGTTCAGATTTGTGTTGAAACGTGTAAATGTTTTCGTTAATTTTGGCATCAATCAAAAAGATGAATAGATTCCCTTGCTTGAGCAGAAGATGAGTGGAAAGTCAGGTTGGCGTGTAACGTATTGAAAATGCTGTCATTCTCAGGGAAGGAAAATACAAGCTTTCGCGGTGTGTGGAGTTTCGACTGAACATTCTCCTTGGTGTAAGGTAAACGGTGTTATCGTGTAATCGACAGATGGAAGTTATGGATTCAGGAATCGAAACAAACGACAGTACAAGCGATTGTGATAAAGTTTCAAAGGTAAGGTGATTTCCCTATTAAATAGTAAGTTTCTTTATACTTTGCTATGAAGTGACGAGCCTCTTATTTATAGTTTATAAGTAAGGACGTTCATGTACCCGGTGCATTTGGTGTA